AAAAAAGTCACATTGATTGATTGATTGATTGATTGATTGATATAATTGATTGATTGATTGACTAAGACATTCTACTTCCTGCATATAGACACTAAATTTTAAAGTGTTACACTGCCCACTAATTTGCGTGTTACTTGCTGCTGGCTGTAAAAAACTTAAAAACCAAGTACGACACATGCAAGTTAATTCACTTACATTGAAACCAATAAGCAAGACCTTTTCAGGCAGGAATTTTGTCAGTTTGTTTACATCAGTCATGCATCATGGGCATTGTTCAATAACTTAAATTAACATCACTTTCTTTTAACAAAATATTTATGAAGGTAAATAGTACAGAAAATGGTACGAGTGCGAGTCTTTCCCCGGTACCGGTATGTTACTATACACAAGATGAAAATGTCATATCAGCGTAAGTAAATATTCTTACATTATTATTACATAATAATGGTAATAAATATTACAACAATAACAAAAATAGATTGGCGTTTTTGCTTCCCTGTAGTATTCGAGTATGTAATTTGAATACTTATAAATATTTTTAGAAGACAGCAACAATTTACTGAACACGGAATAAATTTTTATATATCAAATACAAAATCTGTGTTGAAAATGAGTTTGTAATTTTTTTATTTTATTCAGTATAAAGCAACACAATTTAGAAACACAACATTTTTACATTAACAGCAATGAACATTTTTTGAGATATAATTCAGGGCATAATAATAATGGCAACATGATTATACCAAATAAATTAACATTTTACTATATATAAACGACAAAAGCACATGTATGTCAGCAAGTTAGTAAATAACAGAAACGGTGTAGAATAAATACTGTAGATTGATTGATCATGCTTTGTTGACTCAATATTTACATATTTATTTCCGTTAAATATTGTTCACAAACGTTGATTAATTTTAATATTTTTAAGTAAATGGTCAATGAAAGGCTGTAAAACTGTCTATGAAAACTATGTCAAGAACGGCGTGACGTGTGTATGTGATCATCTGACATCGTTTGTCATTTTGATGAAACCGAAGCCGGTACCGGTATGTACTAAACTATAACAAATAGGAAATTATGGATATATAAGTAAAGGATTAAAAATACACGCTTGTTTAAGAACCTCAGTATTAATCATATTACAATATTTTCTAGACAAACGAGAACGACACTTTGTCTTTGCTTACAACAGTTGGGTTATCAATTTCAAGTTTGTTTCTCATAATTACTCTCGTCATCATCTGTATTTTCAGGTAAGTTTGAATAAATATTATATATTTTATGTTCGTATTAATCATGAAATAAAAATATGACATTGCTTTAATTTTCAACATCCGATAAAAATTTGATCAAAAAATCACTGGTAATTTGTATCTTATATGCAGCAGGGCAAGCGAATCATTTTACATAGACTCGGATATGCCGATCGATACTTAAAATATTATGTTTTTGTATAAATTTTCCTACTTTCTGCTTAGAGTTTAGGGAATCATTCATTTTGAAAATAATGTTGAGTAGTAAACAATCAAACTTTTGGTTATTTGTATTTCAGAGATTTAAGAAATTCTGAGAGATATAAAATCATGCGCCACTTGGTCATCGCTTTACTTTGTGTCAATTGCTTCTTTTTGTTACTCGAAGTTGATGCAAAAGAATCGGTATGTCTTCGTATTTTTACCCAATAGCCTCAACAAGTATAAATAGAAAAATGTCCGACTCTGGGGTTTCTTTTAAACGCAATGCTAGTCTTTCATAATAGAAATACCATTGGGCTGTATGAATACTAGAACTCTAATTCCAATGCATTCGATGTTTCAAAAATGCCAGTGTTTATCGGCACTTCAAAAAAATGACAATCCAGTTTCTTAAAACGAGCTAAAACTTCGAAATCACGTCATTTCGTATTCTTAAAATGAATTTGACTAGAGGACTGCAACTAAATCACGCGCACTTCAACTGAAGCTGATGTCTATTTGATTTTTCTAGCCTGGTTAAGGGCAAGCTAAAATGCCGATTTAAAAATTCGCATCGTTAAAAACTTATGTTTTGTAGCTCACACGATATATTACAAGAAACAGAAATGGTACCCTATGCAGGTCTAATATTTTATAAGTGTAGTTAATGAAAAAATGCATTCCAGATTAGCCCAATAGCCATGTTTAGCTTGTCATAAAGTAGCTGCCAATTTGCTTAAGAGAAAAATGTTCGCAGGTGATTCGGGTCGGAATCAAACCAACGAAGTGATTTGGGTTGGAATCGAACACACGATCTCCAGGTATCTAGGCTGATGTCTTAAACACTAGACCACCGAGCTTGCGCTTGGTAGTATATTGATGAATACAATAAAAAAAAAATAGCAGCAGGTACTGCAATGCTTTACCGATGGCGTATTTAGAAATATTACAAAATGTTTGCCCTACCAGACTTGTTGAATGCCCAGTACAATCCCAAATATTTGCGAAAGAAAATCACAAGTGATTCGGGTGGGAATTGAATCTACGACCTCTAGGTACCAAGCCTGATATCTTAACTACTAGACAACCGAGCTTGCGATTGGTGGCTAGTGGTAAATCCGATTCTCAAGTAGCAGCGGGTACTGCAATGCTATTCCGATTGTGTATTTTCGTCAGGAGAAATAATAAGAATTGATGTTTGCCCTACCTGACTTGTTATAAGTACGGTATTGAATGTCCAGTACATTCCCATTTCTTTTCCCCCCAAAAAAATCCTCAAGTAATTTGGGTGGTTAAGACATTAGGCTACTTACCTGGAGGTCGTGATTTATACTAGATCGTCACAAAAACGTAATACTTTCTTCCATGTAACTTGACAAGTTAAACTTTCTCAAAGTTTCATTCAGATCAGTTTACCCGTTTTTGAAATATCTGGTGTTAGAGTGTTTGTTCTTAAGCCACTTTAATTGGCCCTCACAACACACTCCACTCTAGACACTTAGGAAGTACATCCTTGATATAATGGTCTATGCTTCGACAAAGAATGGAAAGATCCAAGAATGGAAAGTAACCAAAGTGCCGGGAGGAAAACGCCAGTGCAAAAAGATAGGATAAACGATGTGGAAGAAAAAGGGAAAAAAATAATAACAAAAACAATGGCTTTTCTAACTACTGCTGAAAAAAGCAAATAACGTCCTGGAAGTAACAATTTAACATCAACATTTTGTCCTCACAGATCCTATGCAGTGTCCTTGCAGCTTCTCTGCACTACAGTCTCTTGGCAGCTTTCTCCTGGATGTTGATTATATCAACGGATATATTCATGAAGATCAAACATCCGTTTGCTGATCATTCAAAGCGCTTCACTTACAGTCGGTTCATTGGTTGGATTGGACCTGCCATTGTTGTTGCAGTGACTGCTGGTATAACAAGAGAAAACTACGCATCTGATGAGTAAATATATTTTTGTTTTCTACAAAAAAAAAAAAAAAACTGTTATTCTGTGCTTTATTGAAGTACAGCGGTATTAACCCTTTCTAATTTGGTTGTGCACCGTTTGTATCAATTAATGCACCGCAAACCTAAATTCTGCCCTTATAATTTTAGTTGCAATCGATGCGCCAGCGGAGTCAATAGAGAGCTTTTCGATTTGCGCGACGACGATGCAACGCTAGAACGGAATCACACGTGACCGTCCTACCGGGCGTCCTACGTTCTACCGTTGTCGTACAATCGAAAGCTCCCTAATGAGGAAAATGTTTTTGGACCTCATGTTGTCATTAAACGCTTGAGGCCCTTACACTATAAACAATTTTTAGCCAATCCTACTGAAGTATTTCAGTTTCTAATATTTTGGACTTAAAGTACAGTTTCAAGCATTTACTCGAAGACTTTGATGTCGGCAGCTCTTTTGTCTATACCCTATGTCAGATTTATTTAATTCCGTTTCTTCAAATCTCTGGGGCCGCAACTGGTTGGAATAAGTAGCACATCAGCGGTCATGCAAGCTGAGCTCTGAACTACTTTGAATTATTTTAACAAAAACTATAAACACTGGTATTTCTACATTTTAAATTATATTAATTTTAGGTGCTGGTTAGATACTGAATCTGGTACCATTTGGAGTTTCATTCCGATCGTCTGCCTCACCAATCTGGTAATGTTTTTCTATTTAACTTAATAACACACACGTGTAATATATTACATCTAGGAAGCATGATAACCCGATAACAATATTAAACAATTTGTTTTAAGCCAACAAGTTAAGGATAATGGTCCATTTTTCTAGAATCAACCGCATTTCAACATTTTCCATTAACAATTGTGCCGTATTCCAACGTCTGTGCACAATAAAAAGATAAATCATTTAATAGTATAAATATTTGCTTCCTACAGTTCCTTTTATATATTACCAACATCTTGAAAGATTTATTACTATAATATCCTCATAATAGGCTGGATTGTACATTTTTCAGTTATGAGAGGTTTTGCAACAAACCGTATTTGCTTACCGTACTTTTCATTTAAAATGTAACATTCTATTATAGATTGTCATCGTACAGTTGTGTGTTATTGGCTACGTAGTGTTCAAGAAATCTAAAATACCTAACCAATCTGAAGAAGAAATGCAAATGTTCATTAGAATAAGGTTAGACAAAAATAATCATTCTTTGCCGAACAACTCTTTGTTTATGCCGATCATAAGTAAATTGATTATTTTCTGTCTATTTATCCGCAAGCAAGATTGCACAGAAACTATGAAACGAATCATTATAAAAACTAGTTGAATAGTACGTAATAATAAAAAAAAAAAACACAGATGATTAAATTTTGTTAAAAAGTGGTAAAAAAAAGAACAAGGTCATAGAAATTTGATTTTCTTTCAGTCTCGAACATAAAGTGGAGTAGAGTTGAATAGCCTAGTGGTTAAGATGCTTAGCCTCTAATCGTAGGGTCTTGGCTTTAATTGCGGTCACAGCAGGACTTTTTTCTCACGACAGAAAACAACTCCACTCTATAAGCCTCATTTAAAGACTTGGTTTATAAAGAATCGTTCATCTTGTAATTGGCGAGTTACTTGCTGAATAAATGTTTTAAAAGGAAAGAAATCGCCAATACACCGACGTTTTATTGTTCAGTATTTAGGCACAAGGCTAAGTTATGAACTCTGAAGTGACAACTCTGCATTGTATCACCCGAGAGTATATTATGATCCGTGTCAGGTGATAGAGGACTGTCAATAAGGTGCTCTCGACATAATAATAATTACTTCCCATAAATATTTAGAGAGTTTTTTTTTAAATTTCATTTTGTTAACAGAAATATTTTTCATGGTATATTGCTCCTTGCCCCAGCCGTGGGGCTTTCATGGATTTTTGGTGTCATCGTCGTTTTTTGTGATTGGAAAGTGGTGGAATACATCTATGTTGTCTTGAATTCCATGCAAGGATTCTTCGTGTGGCTCTCACAGTGCGCCTTCAGCAACGAGGTGATTCCATGTTGCTTTAAATATTTTGTAAACTATTGTAGGTTAATTGACAAAGGCTAAATTTTCTAATATCATAATTTATACAGTTTAACCACTCTTTGTAGAAATTGTAAATGTAATTGTAGTCATTTTATATGACGAATACTACCGATTAACTGTGGCGAAATATTTTTTGTAACCAGTATTAGCAAAAACTTTTTAAAAACTGACTATCTGTGTAAGCATTTTTTTTAAAGCAACAATTCTCTTTAAGCTTTGTAAAGATGAACTTTAAAATATAATTGTATTTTAACTGTATTTTTTCTATTTTAGGTGCGGCAAGCCTACAGAAAAAGGTTTAGCAACCTGGTAAATGACGATAGTAGCGTCGCTACTGTAAGCAGTGTCACCTATAACAGAAACCGGGTAACTATCGAACACATGTAACCACTGAAGACATATATTTATAGAAGAGAGTCGTAACATATCAGGATATACATTAATACATTATTGATGACCTTGTTTAACTACATCGTCAAATAAAAGTGTAATTAAAAAAAGTAATTATTATACTCTGGTGAAATATTGCATTTTAGTTACGTGTGCATTATTTACATTACTCCTATAAATAAGTAAACTATGACGGAGTGTTGCTAGGGGATGCCGGGGTCCATTGCCAATTGTCGGATAGATCATGGTGTTTCAAAGGCTTATTCAATTACATTTAGAGTTCACTAATAATTTTTAAAATCCATATATATTTGTATTAATATCCCATACAATCTTAGACAAAAATGTGATGCAGGGAATATAAATTTTATCAGATTAATACATGATCATCTTTGGTTATGGTATTACTTCGGTTTACTTATAGGTGCACCGTTCTGCATTTTTATTTTATATTTTTTTATTAAGGACACTGCAAATAAAGTTTTGTTGAATTTGTACTTTCGTTCATTAAATGCCTGCTTATTTATATTTTCATTAGGTGCACCGTTCTGCATTTTTATTTACTTTTTTATTAAGGATACTGCAAATAAAGTTTTGTTGAATTTGTACTTTCGTTCATTAACTGCCTGCTTATTTATATTTTCATTATGTAACGAATCCTTTAAGAAAGAAAATCATTTTACGAGGGTAATAAACAGAGAAGCGCTATATGCGGCTAGTTCTATTTTGGTTTATGATATTTTACATAGGCCTAAATGCCTATTTTCATATTATTCATTTTTATTTTATATAGATATTGCTCTGTATAGCTACAATATATATGATGTTTCTACATGTATCACAGTAACATAAGTGTCCAATTTTACTTTATAGCACCGTAACCAGTCGATTTGTCTAGTAGTAAAATTGCCGGAAGTCGATTATTTTCAACTTATTTTTAGCTAACATCTCAGCAGTGCCCTTTTTAAGGGATCACCTTCGAGACCGAAGAAAGTGTCCTCTTTATAGGAATTCCTAAACAGGGTTTTTTCGAGTGTATACTAATAATAATAATAATTATTATTATTATTATTATTATTATTATTATTATTATTATTATTATTATTATTATTATTATTATTATTATTATATCAAAGATAATAGATAAAAAAGACAGAGCAGAACGTCCATGAGAACAATTTTCCTCCATCCAAGCGGCACCGCTATAATCAAGGACACTGCTTGGGTTCGTTTGTTTTCTGTAGTTTCTCCACTCTGTCAAATTCCCAATAAATTACTCCGCTAGTGGGAGGGCATACTTGTTTACTTGTTTCCCAAGAGAGTCTTCTATAGTCTGATCCTCCTGGGTATAGAGGCCAAGCAAAACCATGCTTATAGGCCCCTCGAAAAAACAGTATATTTAAAATTTAACATAGGGCGCAAATTTGAGCGGATAGTCAGCCAAACGTACTTCGATTGCAGATTTAAATAAATTAATTGAACTAGAGTTAACGCCTTCATTCGATAAAGAATTCCACAGCTGGACTGACCAAAATGAAAAAGCACGACTTCTAATAAGTGTCCTACAGTGCTGATGTTTAATCTTAAAGGAGTGACCTCTAGTTCTAGCACCATTATCAAACTCAAAAAATAAATCACCCGAAACCCTATCAATTCCATGGACAATTTTAAAAAGCTGTAAAATATCCGATCTCTGTCTACGGAACGCTAGAGTTGGAAGATTCAGAACGGACGTTCTACCAAGCTACGCGAAGAGCTCTTTCGTCTGATATACAGTAGCACTTTGTATCAATTTATATATTTCGTATTTTGCTTTATGATATTTGACACACATGCCCAAATGCCTATTTTCATATTATTCATTAATACTTATATTATATAGTGTCACTGTTCTATATATCTACAATATAATATATATGTGTTTTGATTCGTCTTAGATGTCATTGAGTGTTACGCTCTTCGTGTTTAATGTGATATTGTTGCTATTGTTGGTATGATTTGTGAAGATTCATTAATTAATAATATTTGGCTTTACTTTAAGATTTTTTTTCTAATATTCCAATATTAGATTACAAAATTAATTTCTTTTAGAATTTTAGGTTTTGTTAGGAATATTTCTTAAAAGATTTAGATTTGTATTAACATCATATTTTTTTTCGAAACTTGATATTAAACTGCATTACATTTTATTTAATTTATGATTGGTGTATTCATATACCGGTATCGGTTGCTTGTTGTAACTATTTTATGAATTTACTCAAAACGAAAGATATAATGATTAAAGCAATACCTAATATTCAAATATGTATGTTAGCATTTTTCTCAAGTATACAGCCTTAACACTAACCAATTTAGTTTCTCACATTGTCAATTATTGATATTCGATGTGTTATTCATTTAGTGAACGTAACGAATGTGCTCGTATTTTGTTAGTACTGAAGATTATAATTGTATATAAAATGCAGCAGACACACGAATAGGCATAAGCAAACATAGTTATGAATATTAAAATATTAGATTACTAATTGTTTTATAACGACATACTCATACTCACATACTTAGCAGAAATGAATGTGTAACATATATTTACAAGGATTAGATTCTTTTCTTGAAATACGTTAATTTATCTCATAATAATAATAATAATAATATGATGATGATATGATGATGATGATGATGATGATGATGATGATGATGATGTTAATACAAAGCTATTTTATATCCATCAAACGAGATTTATATAATCATCCATGATCATGTCTGTGCAGGGGTCTGTCGCATCATAGAATTTTTAATATTTCCACGACCACGTAATGTGATAACGACAAATATTAAAGAGATGATCATTGATTAGTACTCTTGAACTTGTGAGGCCTAACTTCCTTTATCGTCCTCTTGTCAATAGCTTTTGATTTTTCCTTATTTCGATGTTTGTGCACTTTTCTAAAAGTTAGAAGGCTGATAACCGATAACCGGTTGTCCTATTTATTCATTCAACCATTCATTCTTCTGTCCGTCCGCCCGTTCGTTCGTTCATTTATTAAGTTATTTATTTTTTTTTATTGGTTTATGGATTGATTGATTGATTGATTGATTGATTGATTGATTGATTATTTATTTATTTATTCGTTTATTTGTTTATTTGTATATTTGTTTGTTTATGCTATTGTTTAAGATTTCTAATCATTTTCCGGAAAAAATGTATCTATTCATCGTGCATTTCAGTTCATTATAAACTGATAATGACGACAAAAAAAGGAGGCGCTAATGATTGTTGTGATATAGGTGTAATATTATAATTATTGGAGCAACCATCAAACAACCTGACACAAATAAAATAAATGAAATAAATAATAACTAATTGTTTTTCTCCATTACACCCTTAAGCCCTAATTGTATGTGACTTTGTGTGATGAGCCCATATATAGGCATTATGATGTCATAATACATTCAAATATGAACATATCACATACCGTACATTTGTCGCATACAATTTGATCGTGTGGACATTAATTTACGTGCATAATTGTGTATTATTATATTTTTTATTTTACAGAGGTCGCTGTGTTTGCATTGCTAGCTACACAGTGCTAACTTAAGCCGTAAAAACACTTTCCACAATCGGCAGATATTAATTTAGCCTCCGTCATGTAACAATGTTTGCAAAAACATTGACAATTGATGAGCCCATATATAGGCATGATGATGTCATAATACATTCAAATATGGACATATCACATACCGTACATTTGTCGCATACAATTTGATCGTGTGGACATTACATTACGTGCATAATTGTGTATTATTTTATTTTTTATTTTACAGAGGTTCGCTGTTTTTGCATTGCTAGCTACACAGTACTAACTTAAGCCGTAAAAACACTTCCCACAATCGGATAGAACCCGCCCCCACCCCCGCCCGCCCAACAGACTCACAGGAGAAAGTAAATAAAAATCAAAACATATGCCTTTCCACTAAAAAGTACTTAACTAATATTACAAAAAGAATGTCAAATTCACAATACAAAGTCCCTCCAGTAATTTTGTTGTTTTAGTTTTTGTTGATGACAGAAACATTTTTGTTTTGTTTGACAGAAAGTAAGTATAGAAACTAAACGTAAATGAATTGCATCATTATATCAGTATATTTATTTACATAGATTTAGCTTATCATTACCATTTCATCAATTGTATATTAATATCCAATTTACAGGTCCAAGTGGAGTAGTTGTAAAATGTTTGAGTAAACATAGCGATCCATTTACTAAAAATATTATTCTTAAATCTATGGTAATTTAATCTATGGCTCTGTGGTAATTCATCAAAACACGCTCTATATACTGTGCTTTCTCTTTCGGTCCGACAGGCGGAATCACAATCACGCCCTTATCATAACCTAAATTGCTTTTACAGTACGCCCTCACCTCAATCACGCCCTTATCGTAACCTAAATTGCTTTACAGTACGCCCTCACCACAATTACGCCCTTATCGTAACCTAAGTTGCTTTTACAGTACGCCCTCACCACAATCACGCCCTTATCGTAACCTAAATTGCTTTTACAGTGCGCCCTCACCACAATCACGCCCTTATCGTAACCTAAATTGGTTTTACGGTGCGCCCTCACAACAACAATGACCACACAGTAAACAATTTAACTGCTCCCTGATTTGAAAAGATAGTCAAAGCCTAAAGTTGACGATTAAAACAAATCAGGGCTTTTAGGATTCTCAAACAATTTTTTTGTTATTTCATGAGGAGGAAGTTATTTAAATGTATTAATTTACTTACACGTATCATCATCACCATCTGCACTAGTTGGCGTTAGACATTGCGCGGTCCACCAAGCGAGCCAGTGCATTCTGTCGTGGCCGAATAAGAGTCGATTGCTTGGTTGGTGTTCACAGTATTTCTGAGGTTATCCTTGCCTTATCCATATTTTAGTTCGTCTTCCAACATGCCTTTGAACTTCCTGTAACTTTCATTTAGCGTTAATATATTGTTTAGTTTTTCTGGACTTGAACAGACTTGATGACTTGCTTAATGCTACTGTCTAATTATTGTTATATAAATAGTTCCAATACAGTAGTAAGTTTTTTTGTAAGTCTTGCAGAATTGCAAGGCCGAATATGGGCAAATGGGATTCGTTGTTCTTGATTTTTATTTATTTAATTTTTCATTTCAACTTCAGAATTTTATTTTCAATCTGGCAATTAAAACAACAACAACAACAATAATAATAATAATAATAATAATAATAATAATAATAATAATAATAATAATAATAATAATAATAATAATAATAAATAATAATGACGACAAAATAGTTGACGCTGATGGTGGTTATGATGTAGGTGTATGCCTAATGAATTAATTATTGGAGCAAACTTCAAATATCCCCTACTTATATAAAATAAATGATAATTAAGCATAATGTTGTTTCTCCATTACACCCTAAAGATCTGTAATTTTATGTGACAGCTTTGTGTGATGTGCCCATAAAAGGGAATGATGATATCATATTACATTCAAATATGGACATATCACATTTATTTGTCACATAAAATTTGATAGTATGGACTTGGCTTTACATGCATAATAATATACACCACCAGTTTTTTTGTTTTTTGTTTTGTTTTTTATTTTATAGACGTTTGATTTTCTTGCGTTGCAAGCTACAAGGAGCTAACTTAAAAAAATCGATTCTAAT